TACTACTGTGATCAAAAAGTAAGGTGAAATTGTCATTTAAAACTCCCGGACATTAGGAAGGCAGGCAATTGTTTTTTTCCTAGGTTGGTAGGACTGTCTATAACATTTACCAAGCGTCTGTTTGTCAAAAGGTTTAATTATCTCCGAGTTACACGTGTATTTGTAAACAACCAAAAGTGAATTTTTCGATTTTTACAATGAGTGATTTTGTTGAGCAAAGAACTTGCATCAAATTTTGTTTGTGGAACGAATATTCTTGTGCGGACACGTTGAAAATGTTGCGGAAGGCCTTTGGGGATTACTTTGAAGGGGATGAAATTAATTTGGAAGAATAAATAAAGAATTTACATTTTATAAACGAATTCACCTTACTTTTTGATCACAGTAGTACATCGTGCCCTGACTGTTTGAGGGCCCCAGCGTCACGTATACAATGTAAAACGCGACAAATAAAACGTCTCTGATTGGTGGACACGACGAACCCAAAAAGGGTATAAAAGAAGCGTTTCTTCTTACCGGACACTCAGTAGAGTTTGGTCGCTCGATCGGTTTCGCTCATATACCTTTTCTCAATAAAGGATTAAAATAAAGTCTTCTAAAGCAAAGAATTAGAATCATTTCCATTCCATAATCCCAGTACTTATAATATTTTTAATGGCTCCGAAATTTCTTTGTAGCTTTTACCACTCTTTTTTCATCATTTCATAGGTTTAATAATAGTTCTGTGAGCCCTGCAAGTTCTTCGTAGAATCTGCAATTTCCTCATTGGTACCACAATCTTAACAATATTAAGTTAATATTAATATTTCCTATATAGTTAATATTAATATTAATAGTATTATAGTATATAGTATTATTAGTAATAGTATTATAGTTAATATTAATTTCCTTAATATTTCCTCATTGGTACCACAATCAAAACGCGAGTTTTAACATTTTCTTATAAGTCTTACCATCGTTTCATAGGTTTCGCAATATTTTTATAAGTCCTACAAGTTCTTCGTAGACTCTACAATTTTTTCATTGGTTCCACAATTCTTCTATCATTTTTCTACTACTTTCTCACAAGCATTACCATGTTTTCGTAGGTTTCATAATATTTGAATGGGCCGCACAATTCTTTTTGTACGCACTACAACCATCCCATTGGTGCTAGAACTTTGCAAGATATTTGCCTAAGCGGTACCGTCCACATTCCACCCCCTTAAATGATCCTCAGAGACTAAACAAAATGAAAACTCTCAGTTTTGGAGTGATCTACGAAAAGCAAGTTAATTGTTATTTATCAAACGCAACCAGAGAATCCGGTTAAGAGGAAGTGGTTAAAACTCTGAATGCGAGCTTTGCGATTCCACGGGCAATTGTAGATTGCTGGATCGCAGTTGCGTTGCGGTTTCCGTCCCTCAATTATCATGGGGCTTTGCACGCGCGTAAGGTGGGTTGCGGTGACATAGGTGCGCTATTAGGTTCGCTCAAAACTTACTTCGGAAGTATATCGGACCCCTGTTGCATCACAGAGCCGCATATGAGCCACATCGAGTTACTTAAGCTAAAACTGTTTTCCAATTCCTCCGGATCGGGATTGCACGGATGCGGATTGTCCCATTCGCCTGGAGCTATTCTGGAAGTAAATGTGCGAGGTTCATGGAATAATGCAATCTAAACCGCGGTTGCGACATGCCGCTGTTTGTAAACTGTCAGTCCAACAGAGATATATTAACAAATGTAATTGCTCGAAATGCGAAACAATTGATGAGAATTCCAATTTTGTTCGCGAATAGATGTAGAGATGAGTTTTTCAATTGAAACGTTTCAAATCGATTTCACCGTTTCAACGGAAAATTTTCTTTGTTTCAAATAGAATGACGATGTTTAACTTGAACATTTCAATTGCAATTTTAACAGTCAAATAGGAAATTTGGATTTTCTATATTTAAAATCAAATTTTGATGTTTAAATGTATATTATATCATGTTTCCTTTCATTTTCATAGTTTCCAAAAAATTGTTTGTTATTGTTATGAATAACAGCGATACAATTTAGTGTCGTTTTAAGGAAAACCAACTTAGTCAGAAATAATTGATTGAACCGTAAAATTTTTGTTGCGTTCTGTATAAGACGAAGTTATATATATATACCATTATTACTAACATAAACAAATGCAGAAATTGTAGCCACGCAAGAAGTTTCGAAGAATTCTCTGAGTATAAATAAGTTTTACCTGACTATAACAATTTAATGCTTCTAGTATGGTATTGGGTACAAGAACGTTAGCTCCAGGAACACGAAGGTAATACAATTTTTCAACTTTTCCAGCTTACGTCATGTTCATTCTCAAGAGCTTATGCCACAGGATAAATGTTCTATGTTGAAAATGATGGGAAATTTATTGCTAAAGTTTATGACATTATTCTGTAGGAGGTCGATCAGGAAATCGTGTTGAGACAACCAGCCCGTAATGCGTTTTTTAAGCCAACAAGGTTTGCTCCCAATTTCAGGATACGGGTATCCATTGAAAATTAATAATGCAGAAGTTTGCAGCGTCTTCTCTTATAAAATATCAAGAATATTGTCACAAAAAGTTATAACTAGGCTATATAAATAATTTTAATTTATTCAAAGTAGGCAGTAAATTTATATAAAATTTTTTTAGTTAAGTGTGTCGAGTGTTAAAAGTTTTCATCGTTCTGCTCTTGCAGCTTTTCTTTTCAATTAAATATTGTACTAATATTCGTAAAAGCTCCGCGAACCTATATGAATAATTTTCATTCATAAAAGTGTACAGATAAATTGCAATTAAATGTAAATCCCGGTTACAAGTCTCATTTGAACAAGAAGAAAGTTCTAGGAGTTGATAAACGTCAAAAGTGAATAAACCCGGAGTCATTCTCATAATTTGATGTATCAACTTCCCTGTCGGATAAAACGATACGGAAACGCGATGTCATTAATTTTCTCGCGACCATCGAACAGCATAAACGTGATCGTCTTTAACGGCAAAGTGTCGCCGCGAGTTGTCACGTTATCGTAACTCGATTCGCTAGAATCAAGTGTTTAACTAGTTCGGTGGGCAAAGCTTCGCCGGAACAGGAAGCTTCAGCCTACTTATTTATTTTTCTTCTCGTCTTACCTGGCCTGGGCGAACAGCATCACCGAAACTGCTAAGAAAGCAGTCGCCATGTAAATCCAGACATCGGTCGACAACGGGGACAGGAACGAGAACAGGTCGGGCTCCTTCTCCTCGGGCTTGCCGTATAAAATGCTGATACCTGGCGCGGGCAAAACGGGTCAGATAGCAACGTCTAAAGTGTAACAAGCCGGAAAAAATTGGGCAGATCAACGAACGGTAGGTAGCGTACCTAGGTTCATAAATGGCATCGTGAAATCGACCGCGCTCTCGCGCTCGTAGGTGATCGTTAGATCGCAGATCGCGAGGTCAGCGTCCTGAAACCGAGATCTGCATTCGATTACGTCGAATTGTGTCTTGATACTGGTATCAATAAAATTTGACGCAATAAAAACGGTATTATCATTCGATGTGCTCTCTTCTGATAAAGAAATGTCATAACGATGTAAGACAAATAAAACTGGCACTCACAATCGATATAATCAGAATAAACCTGTCGTGGTGTGTTAGAACGTATTAATTAATTAGCAAATTTTGTTTGAAGAGAAAGCACGTGGAAACACATTTTTTCAGAAATATTATGTTTCTAATTGCATATTTGTTATTATCAACATTATGAATTTAGGACATGTCGCCAATAACTTAGCTGTTGAATCGACTTTAATTTTTCAAAGTGGTATATTCTAGTGTGATTCTTTGAAGAAATCGATTCTTTTACTGTCCCTTGAAGAATGTAGATTCAAAACTACGTTCACAAAACGTTGTGTCTGAATTCGTAAAATTGAGGAAGTTACAGCCGGCCGATCATTCGTGATATGAGCAAACAATATTCGTATACAGAACTTTAAATGTGTTCCTCTCGAAAGTATGTTCTTCGAGACGGTGACGCTTGTATCTCAAAATTTACTTAACACGTTCCGTGCCGAGCTTTTTTTACTCGAATCTTCACACTTTGATATTTTACTAA